CTAAATGGATGCACATTGAGGCGATACTCAAGTGAAATAAATGGGACACACGTGTAAATACCAAAGAGTCTCTCTGTTGTGAGAAACTGAAAGTGTAAATAAGGATCAAAATGTATAATAGATAATATGAAATAGGAAGAAAAGTTCCAAAGGGGAAGGGGAAGTGGGAGGGGAAGGGGAAAGGAAAGAGGAGAATGGAATTAATATGAGAAAATGAAAAAATGGAAACAAAGTCTTTGTAAATAGGGAGGGGTGGAGAGGTTGAAGGGAGGGCAGGGGAATGGGGAAAAAATAAGAACCAAGATAGATTGTGTAAAGGTACAAATCTCCAATGATGAATGTCATTATACTGTATACATAAAATGTACCAATAAAAAAATAGTGAGGTGAAATAAGCTAATAATTCACCTCAAAATTCTAGCAATACAAGAAAAATCAAAATGCAAATCTCTCTCATGGAAGGAAATTATAAATATCAGAACAAAAATTAATGAAATTAAATCTAAAAACCAATACTAATTGATCACATCAATTAAATTACATCAAATTAAAAGCCTTCTGCACAGAAAATAAAACAACCAACAGAATAAAAAGACGAACTACAGAATAGGAGAAATAAATTTTCTGCTACTTCTGAACACAGGACTAATATGTAGAATCTATAAAAAAACTCAAAAGAAAAGACCACTAAAAATAAAACACTCAATCAAAAAATGGGCAATTGAAATGAATAGACACTTCTTAGAAGAAGTACAAATGGCCAATAAATATATGAAAACATGTTCAACATCATTGGTCGTGAGAAAAATGCCAGTTAAAACAACCCTGAGATTCCACCTCACTGCAAAAAGAATAGCTATTATCAAGACATCAAATAACAGAAAATACTGGTGAGGTGGAGGATAAAGAAACACTTTTACATTTTTGATGGAAATTTTAGCAATACAACCATCATGGAAATCAGTACAGAGATTCCTCAAAAAATTAAAATTGAAATTTCAGTCCACTCAGCTATTCCCCTTCTAAATATTTTCTTGAAACAGTGAAAAATGTCATTTTACAGTGATACATACATATCACTTTTTATAGCTGCCCAACTCATAATAGATAAATTATGGAAGCAGAAGATATGTTCATCAATAGATGGACAAAGAAAATGTGAGATATCTGTTTTTCTTTCTATCTGCCTATTTAACAATGGAGTATAAGTCAGCCATAAAGAAGGATAAATTTGTAGGAAAATGGATGTACCTTAAAATCATAATGTTAATAAAATGAATTAGACATACAAACACAATTATTACATGGTCTCTTTTCTATGAGAAACTCAACTATTAAATGGAGAGATATACCCTCTGCCAAATGGAAGAGGAACTAGAAAGGGAGGGAGGAGAAAAGGTGGGTGCACAAGGGGAAGTACAAACAATTAAGATGTGTTATGAATGTGTGCTACTCCCCAGCATGAAGATAAATAATATGTACAGCAATATATACTAATAAATGTAAAAACTGTCAAAAATACAAACATTAGATAGCTTGTCTATGTGTGCTAGGTACAATGGGCTGAATGTCATAATATTTATAAGTAATATATGACATCTTTAATCTACAAATATAAAACCATGCTTAACTCAACTGTATTATTAATTCCTTGGGTTACTTGAGAATAATAATATTACCTAATTCATTGCCTCTTCTATATGCCCAGAAGCCTTTTAAGAAATGTTAGTTGAATGAAATAATGAATTCCATTTTGAAATAAAAACAAATGGGACTACTAAATTTGTATTAAAAATGAAAACTATTAAAAACCTAAGATTTTTGAGCTTTAAATATATTTATGTAAGATATACAATATAATATATACAAAATTCTTTTATTTGGAGTGTGAGGAAAATAAAATTTATAATGTGTGTAAACAGTATAAATGGAATTAGACATAATTAGGTACAGTGATTTCATGGGCCTTCATGAGCCTCTATTAATCTATATAATAAGCAAATAAAGCTAGGAATAAAGTTTATTATGGACATAGTTTTGGAATTAGGTATTCTTTCCAGAATTCAGAAATAAAAACTATATTTAAGTCAGAATTATGTAGATGTCATTCATATTTTTTCTATATCGCGAACTATCAGAGCAACACAAATATTTAGAATTTAATTACATACTTCTCCATTAGAATTACAACAGGATTATCATATTTGACATGTGTATAACAGACTTAGATATTTTAAACATTTTACAAAGACCCAATTAAGCAAAAGCAGATCTGCATCAATATGAAGATAAAATTAAATCTATTGTTTTTCTTTTTATAATCCTGATAAATATGAATTGAAGATTCAATATTTATTTTTATTGTGATAAAATGCCTCATGTAATGAGTTGCTTGTTTTAAGACACACTAATTACAAATGTATTGTTTGATCAGCTTTGTGACTATCCAAATAACTCCTTAAAGATGAAGGCACTGAACTGACTACACATCAGGTTTTTGGATTTTGGTTATTTACCCATCAAATGAACTGACTTGCATAGTGTGTTTTGGCCACGGGATAGAGCAATGTGCTATGTGAATTCATAGAACATGCAATAAGAACTGGCAATCTTCTTTTTATGTTTTGGGGGGTGCTGGGGATTGAATTTAGGGCCCCATAATTGTTAGGTCAGTGCTCTACCACTGAGTTACAATTCCAGCTAGTCTCATTTTATATTTATATTACTGGCATTATTATTGAATTATTTGAACCTAATAAATGTTGTGCTCAAATTCTCAATCTGAAAATGAATAGTTGGTAACATTGTCTGGCTTCAAGGTTTTAGGCAAATGAATAATTTATCTAATGAATAATTATTCAAAATATCACATATAAAACCATTTAAAAATAAAGGAGAATATTAATATTACTACATTAAGATTATTGAATTTAAGAAATTATCTTCCATATAGAAGCTTCCAGGATATTTATATGTGAAAAAAACCATTCAAATACTGTACATGATTAATTAATTTCCAGAATGCAGAAAGTCTTGATAAAAAAGATGACCTTCAAATAAAAATATAGACAGCCCCATTTGGTATCTCGGATCTACTCACAGATGTCAGAGAAGAAAGGGAGAGGAAAGAATTTTTGTTTCCAGACAAAACCATAAGGTCTTGCAAAGACAGGAAAGAAGTAGAAAATGTAACTTCATTACACTAAGAAAGTGGTGTAGAAAAACTGTTCATAAGTGTACAACTTTACAGTTGCCACTTGATTACCTATGTTAATGATTCAGAACTTTCTAGTTTTTAGAAATATATAGAAAGCTTTAAAAATATATCTATAGAATAATACTGGACTAGTATTTTTTAATTGTAAAAAAACAGGAATAAGGCCAACTTGCTAAGATGTGGGGAAATGGTGTTGTTGGTTAACATACATTCACTTTTCAACAACAGAATTTTAATAACCTACTAGGTTTCTACTAATTTCACCTTTCTTTTGCCATAACATGAGCTTGTTTCTTAAATAAAGTTTTTTTATTAAGTTAACAAATTGTTACTAAACAAGGAATTGTGAGCTACCATCTCACTGATCACCTCTACCACTACATACATAGGAAAAGCAAATTACAAACTTTAAAAATAGCCCTAGAAAAAAAGCATGATTATGATAATAAATCCATGATACACTTACACATACATAAATTCATATAAAGAAACATATAAAGAAATATATATTGCAATGGAGTAAATATAGGTGATTTGCCTTGATTTGGATTCTATACATATCCCCACCAAAGCTCATTTCTATTAACATGGATAATCAATATATGATGATGAAGTTATGCTTCATTTAAAAAGCTACTATTTTCATTTAATGTATAATACCAGTATAATGTTAGTACAAATTTCAAATATGACATTAAAGTAGTAAGACTTAACATGTGTGGATTGTAATTCAGTACTTAAGTGTCAAACCTCATGTAGCACAGTCAATTCTTCAGGTATCAAAGACAAGAAAATACACTAGAAAACTTGTTGAGAAACAATTTGAATCTGCTGAACAATTTGAATTTGCTAAACTAAAAAGCACAGATAAATATAAACTTTGGATGACTATAGTAAAAAAGTCCAACAAAATAATCCTCATTGTTTATAGTACTGTGTTGGGTACAATACAGCTCTATTATTGAAAGTTTTTTAGCAGAAAAAATAAAGTATATTTCCATAGGCTAAATATCCCAAATTCAAGATGAAAATCCTTCAGTAAATTGCAACATAAGGCTGAACACTAGTACAAAACTGGAAATTCCTAATCATTCATCTAAAAAATATGAAGATCAGCAGTATTTCATGGTTGCACACCATTTAAATGTTCTGAACTTTGACTTCTCCCAATTATATTAACTTTCAAGTTAATATTTTCTCCATTTAGGTTAACTAATATTAGTATGCCTATAATATAACTGTAAAAACATGTAGAACCTAGCCACAACGAATGTAATCATTATGTACTACAAACATGCAGGAATAAAAATTTAAAAATAATACTGAAATCAAAACAAAGTGGTTTCTATTATTTAACTGGTTAAATTTATCTGGAAATGTAAAGGAAAGCAAATTGTTAAGAATTCAGATAGGATGAATGGATATTTGTATAATAAATAAAATATCCTTTTTCCCTACAAAAACCTTATGGTCATGGGCTGGGGATGTAGCTCAGTGGCACAACGCCTGCCTTGCAAGCGCAAGGTCCTGAGTTCAATCCCCACTACCAAATAAATAAATAAAATAAAAAATAAATAAAAAACAAACCTTGTGGTCCCTCTGAGGATGGGAAGAAAATAGGATCTTAGTTATTGTTTTCAGATAGATATGTTTGATATATATTCACAGAGAATGAGAAAAGAATTAAGACTTAGTTCCTATTTTTTTTCCCATTCCCCTGCCCTCCCTTCAACCTTTCCACTCCTCCATATAAACTCAAATAAAAAAAAGAGTTAAGACTTACTTTGAAGAGATAACTGTCAAGGTTACAATGCAGTAGAGTTAATATTCAGTGGATCTTTTAGCAAAAATAGGAATTTTCATTTTATCACTGAACAAAGTCATTAATGAACCTGAAGAGAGAAGAAAAGCAACAATCAAGTGCCTTGATAGATGTTATATACAAGTAACCTCATGCTCCTGGCCAGTACACATCGTACAAAGCACACATACACACACACACACACACACACACACACACACACAATCCCTGGAAACAGGATAAAATTCTTGAAAACAATAATTCTAAACTGCGCATGGTGGCACATGCCTGTAATCCCAGAACTCAGGAGGCTGAGGCAGGAGGATTGCTGTGAGTTCAAGGCCAGCCTGGACTACCCAGAGAGTTCAAGCCCAGCCTGAACTATACAGCGAGACTCTGTTTCAAAAAAAAAAATGTGGTTCTTAAATTTTAGCATGCATCAGAGTTACATGGAGGCCTTGTAAACACATAGATTTCTGAGGTCCAACTCCAGAATTTCTGATTTAAAAGGTCAAACATAGGGTTTGAATATTTGCATTTCTAACAACTTTCCAGATGATGCTGATGCTGTTGATCAGCGGAACACACTTTAAGAATCATTATACTAAAAGAAACTGAGAATGACTGGTAAAGAGCACTAATCTCAACAGGAGTACTTCATAATGTAGCTATTTCTATTTAGTTTAAAACTTTACAGTGACTATTAAAAATTGTAATCAAAGTGAAGTTTTTAGGCTACAGGATTTTAAAAAACATTTTAACAGTCTGGTATTGCTTTCTCCATTAAATATTAATATGAGTCTTTCTAAAGCTTGTATTGTGTTTCTAAAACAGAAGTCTAATGACCTCCCCTATGTATAATAAATGATTGTATAAAGAATTAAATTCCTGTACTTTAGAAACCTTCAAGATATGTATCCACATATATCTACCTATCGATAAATGCACAGATTTTGATCATGCTGTCTATTACATTTCACCAGTCCAAAGAAACATAAATAGCATTTGACTACTAGAAGGAGATATTGAGTATTTTATTTGACATACTAATTTTTTTTGCCCAGAGAATATTAATGCCAGTGAGAAATGATAAAAACACCAGTGCAGTATTTAACTAAATGATGATTTGCTCACAACTAACCACTATGTCTTTAAAAATACAGATACACCTTTCAGAAAACAATATACTTTCTTATATCAGGAAAAAACAATATAATTACTTTCATATCTTTATGCTAGAATCAGTAAGACAATACAATACCCTAGCCAATATTAATAGTATAATGCACTGAAAAATATAAAAGTGTTAATGATCTCACAGAAGTGTCTTGCAGGAATTTTGCTCTGTCACAAGTAAAGAATATAGTATTACTTTAACCCAAGAGAAAACTCTGACCATATTTGACTCATTTAAATCTGAATAATTAATAAAATACTGATTGGGATACTCAGTCAGGTAGGGATAAGAAAGCATGACAATTTGTGCTTCGCAGTTACTATTTTGTGTCCTGCTCCATGGTGGAAAATATGTGTACACTTCTTTTTCCATTTTTTTCCTTCAAACATAAATTAATTGAGGTGTCAATTAATTACTTGGTTGCTCAAATCATATTCTTTTGATTTAATTGCTAAGTGATAAAAAGGTAGCTAAAAATGAATAAAATATTGCAATTGCTATGTAAAAATAAAAACTTTAAACCAAATTATTGAGAAAATGGAAAAATAGGAACAAAATCTTTGTAAATAGGGAGGAATGGAGGGGTTGAAGGGAGGGCTGGGCAAGGGTGAAAAATAAGAACCAAGAGAGATTATGTAAAGGTGTAAATTTCCAATGATGAATGCCATTATACTGTATACCTAAATTGTACCAATAAAAGAAATTTTTTTAAAAAATTAAAGTACTTTATCACTTATGCCATAATACACTGTTGATGTTACAGGTCTATAAAAGGAAAACTAGGGACATAGGTCTCAATACTAGTAATCTTTTGGTATTACTCATTTTCAAATTTGTATCTAAAAACTGAATCATGTTATTATTAATGATAAAAGAACTCTAGTTTATGTCAATTAAAAACTTATTTAGTTGCAATAAGGTTCTTATTTCAAAACATTTGTAAAGATTTACTTGTAAAAATTCTAATGAGATTAATGGATTCATTTAAAAATTTATAATCACAAATGTATCTTACATAATTGTGAAATTTATGAGAAGGCTGTTTATTTTAAATAATTTTTTAAATTTTTTAATTCAACTATTTTATATTTAAAATGAAGTTATGATGTACATTTTAAGTAGTAGAAATGACACAGTGCCTACAGAAGTAATTAGGCTTATTATAATCAAGCTTGGAACTCCTGCTGAGAGGGGAAGGAGAACATTACTTGCTCCTATACCAAAAAATAATGGGAGTGTTAAAGGTTTTAGTTTGTATTCAGATATACAATAATGCAGGCATATACTCTGTATTTTAATGTTATTTATATCATGTTCTTTGATTCTCTTCACCTTTTAAGTACTATGTTTATCTTCATTTCCCATTCTAACAGTTCTTACTGAGAATTTACACAAATTCCCAATTTTCTGTCACTGATGTGTAGAGAAATAACTTCTCAAAATTCTTATACAGTATGAGTGGAATCATGCTGAAAGATAGCCTTTGAGTTGACAAATCTAGGTTAAAGGTGCACTGGAATAATTAAGATAAACATGCCAGGCAACTAAACACCTAAATAAAAGAACATACAGCACACAGAAAATATCTGCTCTGGATCGAAAAGCTTGGTATTCAGAAATTTATAAGGAATGTCTTCTCCTAGATTAAACCTTTTCCCTTAATTCCAGAAAACTCTTTACATTTTCTATTTATTCTTCCCTAACTCAAATATACTGTTTATACTTCTGTGATTTTTTAAATTATTTGTACTTATGTGGCTGTTTTCTGATGTTTTAATTTGCATGTTAAAAGTGTACAGCATTGTAAATAAACCATCCCCCAACTCCTTTCAGGTTTGCTGCTAAACTCTTACAGTGGGAAGTGTGACGTAGCAGCAGCACAGCTGCCTTCATACTCTTCCTCTGCTCCTTTCAATGCCTGGTAGAGGGTGATGGCTACACAAATTCAACAGACACTAATTAGCTTCTTCTCTTCTTCCCTCCCCTCCCCTCCCCTCTCCTCTTCTCTTTTCGCTTCTGATATGTCTGATGCAGAGTTGCTGCATCTGGAAATTGCCTCCAACTTCAGAGAAGCATGCTGGCCAGAGAGAACTCCATTTCTCTTCAAAGGGAACTGATTTGCAGATATCACTGAGAAGATTTTAAAGTGCAAAGGGCTTCATGGGAAACTGGCACCTAAAGGCATCTAAATGGATCAAAGTACCATTCCCTCTTCACTGGATACTGTTCAGCTCATATGTCTCTTGTAGCGAACGTAGCAATCTCATAAACATTTTTCAAGTCATCCTCTTAAGAAATATCTGTCAACACCAAGGGATTAAGGATTATCTGGCCACTGAAAGGGACTCAAGAATTATAGCCTATACCAGATATACCTTCTGCATGACTCACAAAACCCTAATGAGGCAGAAAACTATAAACTTATCAGAATACCCCAAGAAAAACAAAATAAAAAAAACTTTTAAAAAAGTCACTGTTCATGGCTCTCGCTGCTCCTTCCCACAATGCCCTCACTGCTACCTTCTCAGCCATCCAGAACTCACTTCATCAAGTGGTGTTTTCTTCAAATCCATACTGTCCTGTCCTATCAAGGAACTGGAGGGTATGATAGTAGTGTGAAGTTGCAGAGAGTGTGGTGGTTAAACAGAGTTAGAAAGAAATGCAAGTGTTTTTTAAAGAGAGGATGAAGAGTAAAGAAGGAAAAAAGAAAGAAGGAAAGAAATTAAAGAATAAAGGAAAGAGCAAAGTAGAGAGAAAGGACTTGTAACAGTGGCCCAGGCTGCTAAACCGCTGCTGTCCAAGGGCAACTGGGTGCTGAAATGACAGCCTACACACCCCTCTACTCTCACTCGTCCAGTCCACAGACTTTCCATGCTTCCAGGCTCATTCCCTTATCCCTTGGCACTTAAAACCATTTCCATGTTAATCTGTCCTTGCACAATTTAAGGTAGTCCATAATATTTAATGATATGGGTTCTGCATACTCCAGCAGGGTGATCTCACTACCACTTTCCATTCTATTTTAGTGTTAAACTCTACAGGAATAATACTACCTTTTTTTCGTTCCCAGACAAAAAATCAATTTTCCCCTTTCCTTATAAATACTGCCTTGTCTCATGCCTTTCCTACTTCCCACCATACTATTTCCCCTCCCATACACATGCATGAGTGTACACACACACACACACACACACACACACATTCCTCCTCCTTGCCCCATTTCTTCAATAATTTACTACATAAACACAAACTTAAGTTCCAGATGGTAATTTGGTCTTCAAGTTTTCCCCATATCTTTCAATATTTACAAGAGAAAATAGTTAGATGAAGGCATTCTTAAAAGAAACAATTTCAATGTGCAAGCTTTGAAAGTTTAAAACAGGATTGCCTTAATAAAATCCACTAATATTTATGAATTGGTTTATTTCTAATATTTGTATGAAATTATTCTACTAGAGGAAAATAAAGTCAATACACTTTCAAGGTAACTGAGGACTGTACAAAAAGATGGCTCATGGATACATTGTAGGAAGAAATAGGAAGTTCAGGACTATAGAAAAACACACACACATACGCACACACACGTACACACACACACACCCGTGTGTATGTAAACATGCCTTCATTACTTCATTATAAGTTTCATTCACTGATACACAGTAATTAAAGACATTTAATATCTAAAAATGTTAAGCAGAGGCATACTTTAATATTTCACTTTAGAAATGTTTTAAGTAGTCACTCTTCTGCCACCATCCCATGCTCCTAGGGCAGAGAAGTTGAGACGGCCCCAGCACCAGGAAGGAAGCTCTCCTGCCACCATCCCACACTCCTAAGGCAGAGAAGGTGAGCTGCACGGGCAACAGAAGCTGCCCCCCGCCCCGTGGAAATGAGAAGACACA